TATACCTTATTCATATTTTATATTTATTCTTCTAATTAATTACTTTATCCAAAGCAATGTGAAGCAAAAACAAAATAAATAAAAATGGAAAACTTGGCCCATGACCACTAAAACTGGTAGGGCTTTGAATAAAGCAAATGCAGGACAGTGTCATATAGAATTTACAGGATTTTTCACAAAAGAGAAGTTTTGCTGAAGATGAGATATGAACAAAATTTGCAAGTGTGACAAGAAATAAACCACCATCGTTGGGAGTTTATGCAACAAAAGAAAAATAGCAACCTCAAAACAATGTAATAGAATAGCTTAAACTTAAGATAATTAGAGTAAGAAAATGTAAGGAAACCACAATAAATAAACAGGGCAGGGGCGGAGGATTTAGCTCAGTGGCACCACGCCTGCCTCCAACCAAAATAAATACATACATACATACATACATACATAAATAAATAAATAAACAGAGCAGTTTAGAGTAAGAGAAAGTAGATAAGAAACCCAATACATCTTTTAAAAATGAAAATACAGCCCTGGGGTTGAAAACTCTATGCAGATTTGAAGCACTGAATTAGCAGAGACAGGAAAGAATTAGTGGATTAGAACATAGCTTTGAGGACATGAAATACAGAATGAAATACAGAAGATGAAGAACAGTTTATGCAAACACAGAAGATGGAAACACAGTTCAGGGACATGAAAGATAAAATGAGAAACTCAAATGTATGTCTAAATGTGAGCTCTGGAAGTGAGAACAGATGAAATGGGGAGAGACTGAGTATGTACAGATTGAGGATTTCAGATAAACAAAGAACATTAACATCTCAGCAGGAAAAATAAAACTAAAGCTTAATGGCAATTCTCCATACATCTTCCAGAAAATAAAAGAAGGACCATTTGCCTTATTTACCACGATATCAAAACCAGAAAAAGACATAAAAGAGAATTTCAAACCAGTATCTCCCAGGAACGTAAATACAGATATCCTTAGAAAGTATTAGCAAGCTGAATCTAGCACTATGTACAGAAAGGACAACATAACATGATCAAACGAAGGTTATCCAGGAAATGAAAAGTGATTCAAGATTTGAAAACTCAGTCGCTGTAATACACCATATTGATAAATTCAAAGAAAGAAAACAATCATCTTAACAGGAACAGAGCATTTGACAAGCTGCTGCATCCACTCGTAATAAAAAGTCTAAGTAAATTAGGAATTAAACTTTCTTAACCTGATAAAGGGCATGTATGGAAAATCTACAGCAAACTGCATAATTGCTAGTAAAATACCAAATGCTTTCCCACATAAGACTGCCAATAAAACACTGATTTCTGCTTTCAAATCTCCCATTCAATATCATAGTCACAGTCTTAGCAAGTGCAATGACTCTCGAAAAGAATGACAAGCCATCCAGATTATAAAGGAAAAAATATAACTCTCCCTGTTTGCAGTTTCCTATCAGATATCCAACTGGGCCTATCTACAGATTCAGGAAATACTTCTCAGTATTGTTAATTATTAACTTATGCTCTGAGTTTATTAATATTTCATAAGAAAATAAAAATCATAACATATATTTCTTTTAAAATAGTTTATATTCAGAATGTTAACAGTGCCTTCCCTGAAAGGGAATTACTTAATTTCTTTGTTTTGGTTCCATTTTCTTCTGAAAACTCTCTCATGACCTCTGCTGTTCATTCTGTTGAATATAAGTAACATTCACTGACATTCACATTTAGATGGTAAGAAATCCTCTACCCATCTACATCTATATTTAGATGTAAGAAATCTTTGTTTATTGCAACAGTCTTGGAGAAAAAATATGCTAAGAAATACTTTAAATTTTTTTCTTATAGTTTTAAAATTTCTTCACTATTGATAACAAAAAATTAATAACTCATAATCTTACTGCTTAAAGATTCCTGTTACAAGAGGAACATATCCTTCTGCAATTGTTTCTATGCTATATAATTTTACATTTAATTTATCTTGATAAGGATTACAGAATCGGATCATACTATACATCTAATTTGGTATTAACTTTTTACTTAATATTATGTTATGGAATATTTCTTATATCATTGACTCATCTTCAAGATGCAATTTTTAAATTGCATAATATTCTAAATGTGTATTAATTTACTACTTTCTTATTTGAGGGCATTTGAATTGATGCAGTTAGTTTCTATGATAAGTTTCCCTGCAAGACAAAGTTCCTTGAACATCACTAATTGTATGTTTACAGCCCTCAAAGCACAATTTCTGGGTCACAGATAACACTTTTCCCCAGCACTGAGGACTGAACCCAGGGCTTTCCCACTAAGCTATATCCTCTGCCCTTTTTATTTTGAGACAAGGTCTTGCTTAAGTCACTAAGTTACCCAGGCTGAGCTTAAACTTGCAATCCTCCTGCCTCAGCCTCTCAAAGTCCCAGGATTACAGGCATGTGCCTCCATGTCCAGATATGAATATTTTTAAGGCTGTTCATGCTTATTGATGGAGTAAACTCTAAAAAGTTTATGCTAACTTACACTCCCACCAGAAGCATATGTTTATATGCATATGACCATAGACATGGTTTTTTGAAGAGGCAAAAACTATGAAAAGAGAAAAAGTTTTATCTGATTCTCTATTTATGAGGGCATTATTTTTTTCTTCAAGGGTATCAGAAAATTAGGACTCTTTGGTAGCATGAGAAGAGGCCAGATCCTTTAATTGCTTAATCGTAATGTTTCTGAATCTGTTTCCTCATGTGTAATGCAAGAATAGTGACTGTCCTTCTACACAGACAGTGTTTGTAAGAGTAGAGTGAGCTGAGTCATGTGAACATGTTTTGAAAGCTGTAAGTCAGTCAGATGAAAGACACGTAGACATCTGATACTCATTAGACTGTTTTTTTTTGTACCGGGGATTGAACTCAGGACCTTGTGCTTTCGAGGCAGGTGCTGGAACCCCGGCCCTCATTAGACTGTTTTTAAGTGTTAGTAAACCCTTAATATCATTTATTCCCCTTAATATCAGTAATTATCTCAATTTCAACCACATGTGATCAGAAAGGTAAGTTTTCATCAATTTAGTTTTGTTCATTTGAAAATAGTGGAATAATGACTATATAGACAACTATGGATCAAAGATTCATATTTAATCTAAAAATATCTAGCATTTCTACAGCAAATTTGAGCACCTTCTTAACTTGCTGAAGCCTGTGCCTTTTTCAAATTTCTTTTCAAAGTTACACCTGTGGGAATTCACTATAGCCTGAATAATTATCGCTTCTCGGCCTTTTGGCTAAGATCAAGTGTGGTCTGAATAATTATGACCACATCCAACACAAAGTCAATGACATTGAGCATTCAGTGACCGCTTGCTGAACCTAAGAGCTGGAACCTAGCATGAATCTTCACAGAGGAAGAAGATGAGAGAGGGAGGAGGACCAGGAGAACAGAAAGGAGGAAAGGATAACTTGAAAAAAATACTGAATTAAAAAAAAGTAATAGCCAGCAAAGAACGTGGAACGAGGGCTAAGAGGACTCCGGTCGGCATGTCTATCACTGTGGCTCCCAAGAATTCTGGTCATTGCACTGGCTAATGGCTTCAGTTCTCCAAGCAGTCAGTTTCAGTGCTTAGATTTTATTAAATAGTATTGTTTGTAGGTGTCTTGACTAAGAATTTATGGAATGATTTGTGGAAGGTGGGAGGGACAGAGAAAGGGAGAAAGGCAGGTAAGGAGGAAATAACCCTGCCATTTTTACTGCCCACAGAAAAATATGATATAAACACTGAGAGACCGTATAGAGTTACTTAATATAATCCATCTTTATCTTAAAGCTGAAGACTCAGGTCCACATGACACACATAGACCAATGACAGCCAAGAAAACAATGTGACAACTTGTCTTAGGCTTGTTCCACTGAACTTGGTTAATTCTTTTTTTTTTTTCCTTATAGTACTTTATTTTAGCCCTTAAAACCGAGGATCATTTGTGGTCAAAGAGATCAATACTGCTCTCAAAACAAATTGTGATCTCTCAAATTTTTCTTGGTGACATAAGAGTCAATGCTATCCCCCAAATAAAAATACAATACTTTACACTGCGATTTTGTAGACTGTGAACTGTGTTATCATCCGTTATCCTATTTGATCCTCACAAAAACCCTTTGAGGGAAAGCAAGGAAAGTATTATTTTTCTCATTTTAAGAGTGCATAATTAAAACCTAAAGACATCCCAGAACTCAAGGAGGCTGAGGTAGGAGGATCACTATGAGTTTGAGGCAAGCAGAGACTACATAGTGAGTTCAAGGCCAGCCTGGACTATATAGTGAGACCCTATTTAAAAAAAAAAGGATCAAAACAAAGACATTCAATAACATGTACGGTCACTTAGAATAAGGAAGGAGCCAGGATTCCAATGCTATTCCTGTAGAGTATTTTCTACGGAAGAGGGAGTTCCTTCAAAAAGCACAGCTCTGACTCTACTCTTCGGCAAGAGGACCCTACACTAGGTTAGCGACGTTGGGCCTTACCATCCACAAGGGGCACTCCTACTTTGCACCAAGTTCTCATCTTGTAAAAAGTACAGTTTCTTACCCCTTCCCTTGGTCCTGGTCCTTACTTAGGCTTTTATTTTTCTCTTTGCTTTTTGACCGGCGTCTCGCTCCAAAGCTCCACCCTCTCCAAACAAGAAGTCGCGTCCTCGGTATCCGAGGTGACCACGCAGCTATACTCCAATCTTGCCTCTTCCGCGCTTTCCATTGGCCAGTTGGATTTTTGCGTAATTCCCCACCTGCCCCTGCTGCTCCAACGGTCAACAGGCTCGAGGTAAAGAGCGCGCGAGGCACTAGCCCTGTCTGACCTTGACCCTTCCTATGCCGCGCATTGCCTCCTGGGAGTGTAGTTTTTGGTCCGCAGAAAGCCTCGACTTTTGGCTCTCTTAGAACTACCTATCCCGTCGGCCACTGCGAGAAGGGCGGAAGTAGGCAAGGAGTGTGAGTCAGGGGTTGTAGTCAGAGCTTTCAATTCCAAATTGCCCCGGCGGCTTGTGCTGCTCAGGTGTTGGTCGCCTCATCGAGTGAATGGACTTGCTGTTGCTTTAGCAAACCCTCGCCGACGTCTCCTTTTGGACTTTTGACAGCTCGGTGGTCAGTCGATTGTCGTGACAAGCGATCTGCGGCTCAGTGCCCCACGGGCGTAAGCGGCGCGCCATGTTCGCCCCCTGCACGGGCCGGGGTCTCGGCCGCCTCCGGCTGGGTCAGCTCCAAGTGGGACCTGGTGCTGGGCGCTGGGCGCTGGGCGCTGTCCGGACTAGGCCGTCCGGCTCCGACGGGGGCGAGCGGCGGCCGGGATCCGAGCCCCAGGTGCCTCCGCCGGGGTCCGCCCGTCGCGCCGCGAAGGAGTGGACGCTGCGGGTGAGCCCCTTCGGACGGCTGCGGGTCCGGCTTCCGTGCCACGTGGCCGTGAGGGGCCTGGACCCCTTGTCCTATCCCGACGGTGACCGTGTGCTGGTCGTGGCTTGCGACACGGAGGGGGGGCTCCGGGGCTTGGACGGCCTGCAGGTGACATACGACGCGGCGTCGCGCGAGACAGCCGTCAAGGCCGACAGCCTGGACCCCCACGCCTCGGTGGAGGTGGACGCGCCCCTGAAGTTTGGTGAGTGAGGTGGGTCCCGGGGCACGAGAGCCCCTTCAGTGCGGCTGTCAGGCCCACGTGCACTTTTCATTGGTGTCTTTGGACCTAACTTTCGAATCTCAGTTACAGTTGACCTCTTTGGTGGCCGCCTCTTTTTTTCTTCTCTCTTAGTTTTTGAGTAATATCTAGATATATGATGTTACCAATTAAGGGAAAATTTAAAATCAAATGCAAACATGATTTGGAATAATCCATATCAAACAATATTTTGGAGTCCCTCATGTCCTCTTTTGACCCATTATCTACGAAATTGTTCTTCAGGGTTGAGGTTTCTCGATAATGAATTCAGTGGTATGGCAGTCCATCTACATTTCCCCTTGCTTCTGTATTGAGGGGGCTGTCTCCGTACTTAACCTCCCCTCCATATCTAACCTGGAACAAGTATTTGGTTTCAGATAAGTGCCCGGCTTCTTACTGATAAATCTTCCTTCCTTTTGGCCAAAGTTTACCTGAAGTAGCAAACTTTAAAGAAAAATCCAGTGCAACTGCCTGAGAAACTGCATTAATACTGCCTGCAAGATGTTTCCTAGGTATTTGGGTTCGGGGTGGGTTCCCAGATGCAAGCCACTGTGCACTCATGCTTTTCTAGGAAGGGTTCCTCAGTGCCTCGTTCTTCCTACGACTGAGGGTGGTACATTGATGATGATCATAATATCATTTAACATTGCTAAGATAATCCTTTTTTATCCTTACAGTTGCACTATAAAGTAGATTCTATTATTTTCATCATTTCATATGAAGACATTGAGATTTTAAGAAGTATCATAAATATTTACAGTGGATGAACAAGCAGAAAAAAATCCATGGCTTTGTGGAACTTACATCCTAGTGGGGGTAGATTAAAAAATGCTTTCTCTTCGGTATAAAGAGCTGGGATTTGGACTGGAATCTATTCAACCACTGTGCTTTATTACTTCTCAGCTTGTAGGCAGCCAGATGAGTAAGAGCCTGCGCCCTCACATTGTAACAGCTGGGGGCGCTGGTGGGGATTTGCCCTTAGGACTAAGTAGACCTTGTACTGCGGTAGAGCTAAGCGGAGTTTGGCAGCACAGTGAGAAAGAACACTGCTTTTGTTGGTGACTCCAAACCTCATTATTTGTTGCTTCTTTCTAGAGCCGGAATTCCATTTCCAACTTACTGTTTCCATCCATCTATTCGATAAGCCCCTCAAAACTGCATAACTCATTTTTAAAAACTTATTTTAATACCTAATTACCTGTTACAGTGTATGGGCGAAAGTAACATCACCACTGCTGTGTCTAGCTTTAGTTTCTCTACCTACTTGTTAAATAGAAGTATCTTTAGAATATCTCCACCTACCTGTAAAACAGAAGAAACCTAAATGTGAAATAGCTTTATCAGGGTGAAACAGTTAGTAAACAACAACATCTAAACTAACAATTAGAATTCAACCCTGCATGATTCCAAAACCTACACCATGTTTGTTTTTTGAGGTACTGGGGATTGAACCCAGGGTCTTTGTGCTGAGCTACATCCCTGGCCCTTTTGTTATTTTTTATTTTGAGACAGGGTCAAATGCTCAAGCATTTAATTTCATAGACGCATGTTTGGAATCTGCGTCTTTCCATATCTATTACTACTGCCTTAGACCCGGCAGTATGTTGTGACATTACTTAACCGGGAAATAGATTTTGCTGTTACATGTGGTAGCATAAAATTGTCTTTTTACATATTCTTGCTTAATCTCAACCAAAATATTACTGTTGTTTTAAACTTTTACAGAGATTGCCATGCAACTATGGAAATTAATTTTTATGCCATAACTCTTGCAATTGTGACACCAGGCCCCAATAGCTTATGTTTGGGGAACATAGTATGTACTTCTGTAGTCTAGTTTAAGGAAAATCAATATTTATATGAATTAAGTATTAATCAGTGTCTTCAATTATTTTATTTTGATACAGAGATTCCTAAGTTTGCATCTCAAATTGAGAGCCAAGGATGGCTCCTGTGGTACCTTATTTTCCTAACTTTCTTCAGATACATTTCTTAATTATCCACAACCTCATGGTTTATATACTGTTCATTATTAGGTTTTTCAGAGTGGACCTGATTTTAAAAAATTAACTCAAGTACCCTATGATATAGCTGCATAGCAATATTCTCATTTTCTTAGGCATGAAAGGTTAGAGGTAAGATTTGAAAACCTAAGACTTGATTGTATACTGATCCATGCTATTCCTGTAATATGCTTTTTTTTTTTTTGATACTGGGGTTTGAACTCGGGACCTTGGCACTTGTGAGGCAGGTGGCAGAACCACTGAGCTAAATCCCTGGCCCTCTTGTAATATGCTTTTAATTTGGGGACGGTTTGAAAACAAATCTTTAAATCTTCTCGAATGTAAGAGAAACTAGATTGACTGACTTACCTGTTTTATCCTAATGACTCATTAACTGTATTCTTTTTTCCTTTGTGGTACCAGGCATTGAACGCAGGACCTTGCGCTTGTGCTTGCACAGCAGGCACCAGAACCACTGAGCTAAATCCCCAGCCCCTTTAACTGTATTCTTATGTGAGTCTGTGTGTGTGTGTGTGTGTGTGTGTGTGTGTGTGTGTTGTTTTCTAGGTGGAGAAGAGGCTTCTATGGCATGGCGACATGCCTGCATGGCAGAACTGCAGTCTCTTGGCTCTTTTACTTCCCATTCCTCTCTGTAGATGATACAGGCCAAAGTAATTCTTTGTAAGAACTGGCAGGAAAGTCATTGCATTTGACCTGTCAGTGGTGGAGACCTCTCACTTTTAGAGAGAGATTGTTGACAATTATGTTCTCTCCGGGATTCAGTGATACTATGGGCAAACTGAGGAGTTGGATTTCTAGGGGATATGAAAATGTTTTAGAGTTCACTAGTACTAACTTATTTTTCTTTTTTATACTCCTAGATTTGAACATCAAGTTGTCAGGGTCTAGCTGTGTTAAAGTCCAAAATATGGAGTGTGATGATTGCAAAATTGAAATTGAGCAGGGCACCAGTCTCTTACAGTCTGTTAAGGTATGAATATTTTTCCAATTTTATTTTAATGTTAAAAACCCTTAAAATATGACCTTTAGTATTACATTATTAAACTAAGGAGATTATGCTACTTTTTCAGAATGTTATCATTCATTCATCTATAAGAAATTCTTTGCAGAAATTTTTCTCTGGCCTTAGTTCTGTTTTGAAAGTATAGATGTCTGATAGCACAAGGACCCAAGTTCGATCCCCAGTACCAAAAAAAGAAAGTATAGATGTCGGAGGAGCTTTAAAGTTTTTGCCTCATATTTCTTTTAGAGTTCATTTCAAAGGGTGCAGTGAAACGTAATATGCTTAGTATTCTGATATCTTAGTAAGTCAGAGAAATTTTAGTTTTCACAATGATTTATTAAATCACTATGTATTAAAGAATAAGGAAAAGTCTTTATGTACTGTAAATGTGCTTAAAATATTGGGTTACTTTAATCATATTTTTAATAGGCTAAGTACCTCTTTTAGGACTGAGAAGCTATTTATACAAAAGAGTAGATGATTCATCTTGTTTTATAATTAACATTTTTATATTTAGTATTCTTACAATGAGGGTGGCCTTAGCTATAAATGGTTTGAAATACCTTGCTGACGGGCTGATAGGTAGCTGGTTGTTACTCCTAGTTCTTCTAGCACTTCCATGGTCAATATGTAATACCTTTGCAAACTTTGATTGTAGCTAATTTGTTGAAGAGAAGCTGGTCATTTTTGCTTCATAATTGGAAAATATTTTCACTTTTATATTTATAAACACTGATTAGAATGATTAATTTGGTGTTTCAAATTATTAGTTTTTATCCATGTTTATTTGCATACCTACTTTCAGCTTCTGTCCACATATCAGCCATTTTAAATAAATTTAGTTGCATAAGTATCATAAAAAGATGAAGAATACCTTCACATATCTTTTTATAAAATGGGTTGGTTTGCGTTCTTGTCATAACTAACTGGATAGGAATACTACAGTGCTTTTATGTCCGTGTATATACATCTCACTCACTGATGCTTAGGGTTGAGAATTAATCTAGAATATTGTCCTCTGCAGACTCAGAGTGCAGGATTTCCAATATCACACTTAAAACTGAATCTAGAATGCTGCTCTCTATTTCTTTGCATCCTTTTTATTCATCTAATAGTTCTGAAAGCTCTTTGTTAACTTCTTTTTGCCATTATGGGTATAAAAATAAAAAGTGGTTTTTCAGTGTTGGCACAACTGACATTTTTGGGGGTGGGGTGGGGTGGGGCACTGTCCTGTGCAGTCAGGCACCATCTCTGGCCTCTGCCTAACAGACACCACTAGAATGCTCCTTGGTTGTGAAAACTAGACTGTCCCTAGAATTGCTCAGTGTCCTCGGGCTGACAGAATCTCCTCCAGTTGAGAATCACTGTTCTAGGCAAGTCTGTCCTTTATTCTTTTAGCATAGCTGAGAATAATTTATGACTGTGAAACAACTCCCCAGAGAATGAAATAGCAAAATAGTGTGAGACATATGAAAAATAAGAATATTATCCCATAATGTATTTTAGATTTATAAAAGACTTCAGTGGACTGCTACAGTAATTTCAAGCTAGAGTGAGTTTAATTCTATTAATAAAAAAAAGAGTAAATTTTCTACATGTTTTTAGAAGACTGACAGTAAAATTCATGAAATATTACTCCTTATAAATAAAATAGCTCAAAAAAAGAAATTCAAAAATTAACTGAGCCTATAGGTGTTCCTGGTGTACTTAGGGTTATAAGAATTATTCTTGAGATCTTAGGATTTGATTGACTTAAATGAACAAATAATACTTTGGTAAAATATCTGGTTTAAGCTTGAAATATGATATAGTATCATCTTGAATTAGTAGCCACCTGTTAAGTAGTTTCTCTTTCATGTATTTTAAGCTCTTATACTGTATAGAGTTGATCTATGTAATAAAATTGTATTGCAATTGTTGTTAATGACTCCTTATTGTGTTCCAAGAATCTTAGCTCTAATCCTTGAAGCATCTTCATTTTCTCAAGGAAGAAACTAGGGGGCAGCAAGAGACTGAGGAACTCACTTGAGTTCACAGCTAAAAAATTGAGCTGGGATTTGACCTTGGGTGTTTCTGGTCGCCAAGCACATGCAAAATGGTAACACCACCTTTACCCAGCATCTTTAGGGAATAGATAAGTAAACTGCCAGGCAATAGACCATTATCTCACTGGATGCTACATATTTGCATTTTAAAAAATGTAGTATAATTTCCTTTTCTAAATAACTTTTGATTTATTTAAACATTTATTTTCACTTTTTGGTCTTATTTCTTTCTTTCTTTATTTTTATTTATATATTAATTGGTACATTTTAGGTATACAGTATATTTGCATTTATCATTGAGTGTTTGTACCTGGACATGATGTATTTTAGTTCTTAGTTTTTCCCCATTACCTGTACGCCCTTCATCCCCTCTGCCCTTCCCTATTTACATAGACTTTGTGTCCATTTTTTATTTCTTTCTCATAATTTTTCCTTTCCCTTCTTCCCTTTCCCCTTCCCCTCCTGCCACCCCTACATCTTTGGACCTTTTCCTATTTCAAATTATCAGTTATTCATTTTAATCATTTTCATCCTTATTTACACTATCAATTTCTCACACTAGAGAAACTATTCGGTATTTACACATGTGTGTCCTATTTATTTCACTCAAGAGTATGGCCTCAGTATGCATCCATTTAGCTATAAATGACTCTAGTTTCTCATTCTTTATGGCTGAGTAGTATTCCATTTTATAAAAAAATCCAC